TATTTTAGATTTCTTGTACACCTGTCTTAAAATGTAAGGGATACTGGAGCTTGGTTGGGGTGATGGGACGGCTCTTGGTGGGTGCCTGTTATGCCGAAAAAGGCATCCCTGCCGTAGAATGCATGCCTGTCTCTAAATGATCAATTGGTCGCTGATCTGAAACGAGTTGAGCTACTTTGTCGAGTAAGGCTACCGTAGTGCTAATCAATAGCCCCAAAAAATCCGTAAAACTCTAACCCTAACCCCAAAAAAAACCTCTAAAACCCTAACCCCCAAAACCCCCCTAAAACCCTAACCCTAACCCCCAAAACACCCCTAAAACCCTAACCCTAACCCCTAAAAAACTCCTGACCCCCAAAAAACCATTAAAAGCTCAACTCGTCGGAACACCGGCATGCATTCTAAGGCAGGGATGCGTTTTTCGGCATAACACCGGAAAATTTCCCTTATTTTCAAATCCAAAACTTGACAGGTATGGTGCGGTCCTATCTATTTATGTTGCTGAAACTTCAAAATACCATGGTCTACCATATTACTACAATTACCCAAGCCTAATAATGTTTAAACTGTTCATAAAAGTTTACCCATTTGAATACTTTGCTTGTATTTGTTTGTTGCTATACTTCTGCCCTCTGCTGGTCTGGTGGAATATTAATGCTGTACACATGCACCTACCTGCAACCATCTGTGTCCACGGACAAATATGGTACATACACAAGAGACCATGTGTGGACCATAACGGCACATAAAAGTGTAATATGAACTATTTTTAACACACCAGCATTAATGTTGCTAGTTGGTTACGCCACTACACACAATTTTATGCAACAAATTGCAAGAATGCAATCAATCTGACAAAATTCGTTGTCAATTTTGGCCGAACCATCCACATCTTGGGGATTAGGTGTGCAGGCCCCCTAAAATGGCAGAGAAAGATACAAGAACAGTGACATACAAAGATCACTGTGAGATCAACAAAAGACATCACATGAGGGGCTGCAATAAACACACTTGGGGCCTATTTTCCGCCAGTGCAAAGTGGTTTTGCTAGTTATGTACCAGCGCATTTTTTTCCACACCATGTGTGCACCTCTTCAAAATAGCAAATGATTTTGCACCCACATTCTACTTGTAGGAGTGGTGTTTTTTAAATGGGGCATGGCTGGGCGCATTGTCAGCGCGTTGCTATTTTAAGGCAGCGCAATGTCATTGCGCTTTTAATCAACAAAAACTATGCCTAAAGTCAGTGGCGCATTGTTAAACGGTATTTAAGTGGCGCGTTTTACAAACGTGTGGGTGCATGATGCTCATTATTGACATTGGTATGCGCTCGAGATGCACTAATGGTTTTTCATCTCATTTTTTCATTTATATATGTTTTTTTATAGAGTACATCTGGTCCTGTCATGTAATCATTCTGTTCAATAAAACACCAAAAGAAAATCAATATACAGACACTCCTCCTCTACTTACGAATGAGTTACGTTCCGAATGGCCGTTCGTAAGTCTTTATTCAACATCTGTTTAAGGGTATACGCAAGTACAAAGAACTAGGATTCTGGGAGTCAAAAAGTCGTGCTACCCGGAATTGGCGCGCAGAAAAAAATAATTGATGTTGCGGACAGGAAACGGGAGCCCAATGAACACAATTTGGACTTACAGTCCTCTTCGTTGGTATGTTTGAAAGTTAATAAGTTGAAAGTTCTTAAGTAGAGGAGCATCTATAGTAAGTAAGGAACAAACCGTATCATTTAAAAATCTTTCGATTTCATTATGAGAATTAAGCACGTACTATAATTGAAAGGACATTTGGATCGCTGAAAATGTGTTTCAGATGTTTAGATAAGTCAGATGGAACATTACTATATAGTCTCAGAAGGTCATGGCATTCTTTGTGGCATGTTGTATGTTGCGTAACATTGCCATGCATGATGGATGTCCGTTGGACGTAAATGAAGACACATTAGAGGACTTTAGAAGGCGTGTTGCTGAACTGCATGTGCCGATACCAACAACAGGGTGTAGCTGGCAGCAGGACGGGCAAGGAGGCACCACTGGCAGAAGAGCTGAATCGTCAAATTTCCAAACACCTTAAGAACTGTAGGTTGTGTTTTGTTTGAACAAAGCTTGCATTTTTATTTATATTTTGCAAACTGCAGACCCAAAACTAAAATAAAAAAACATACAAGCATAATAAAGTCCCTGTTCCCAGTTACATTTTGCACTTTACACTTTGCATTACATCGTTAAAGTAGAACCCTTGGTATTCTCCAAAGCAGCACTATAAATATATTTTACGCATTTATGAGTTACTAAACCATTTTATGTGCCGTCTGTTGCTTTTGCAAAACTCACCAAAAATTCCCATCTAATTTCTTATGCTAACCCCGTGATACTGAAACCGCGATGAGGAAAGTTGCGATGCAGAAGGGTTGGGTGTATTTTTATTACCCATTCGATTATTAACATTATTGATTAGTTCTTGTAGCTCTTGTAATATATAGTTTATGCTGCTCTTTTAACTCACTCAGTGGCCTCGTTATTCATTATATTTGCTCTTTAATGTTATTGCTTAGCATTAGTTCTAGCAGTTGGCTGAAGTGAAGTCACTGATTTTTACAAGACATAGCATTTTCTTATTTTCATTTGGTCAGAAAATGTAATTAAGCTAAAGCAATTCCAGTAATACTCCCTATCCCACATCCCAGCAAAACTGGAGTTTTACATGGTTGTGTCAAACCCAGCAGTTTTTTTTAAACATTTGACTTCAAAGATTTGTGAGAAGGATCTATTTTCTAAAAAGTATGGTAGTCGGTGCCATTTTGTACTCGCTACTTTCTTGGCAGTGGACATTACACACCTGTAGGATTGCAAAGGGATGGAATATTTCTGTAAACTTTTCAGAAATTTTCCATGGGAAGTTAAGATGGGAAATATTGAAATCCGTGGAACTCCACGTAAGCTGGCGGATATGG